GGCAGTTCGCAGCCGAGTGCGAAGCAGCAGGGATGAGGATTAGCACCTCCAAGTCTGAGACCATGAGGCAGTAGTCTGTTGCCCTATTCAAAACCATCATGGTTAAAAGTTTAAACAAAGCCAGTACCCTGTCATGCTATGCAAATATACATCAGCACTATTGGTCAAATAAATTCGTTTTGTCATTCAAAGTAGGTTTAATAGGATTTTTTAAATTTCACGTAACGCTGTCAGTGAAATTTTATTTTATAGAGACGCAGCAGCAGCATCAACAGAAAAAAATTGAGGAATTTAAAACGTGGATGCTTAGCCTGTATATTCTTTAGGCTATTAAGCCCACTGATTCCTTTATTTTTAAGCCTATTTTTGTGTGGAATGCCATTGCCAAACCTGTCCGTTGTTGCCTATATGTTGCTTAAAAATTATTTTCTGAGTGGCAATGTTGCCGTTACTCATATTTCTTTCTGATATAAGGCTTCGGTTTAAGGTGACATTTGTTAGGCATGCAGAATATTTGTCCCTCTTTTAAATTGGAGCGAGCGTGGAGCGATTTGACTGAAGCGGGAGGAAATTTTAGTGGAGTGAGAAGCGGTGTTGAGCGGAGCGGCTTAGTGCGAATTAGAGCAGAGAAGCGGGCAGAGACAACAGCCTCATGAGCTCCACTCCGCTCACATGCTCTGATACAAAGCCTCATTAATAATTTAGCTATACTAAGCTGCTTAAATTGTGGGCGTAAATAAATGTCCGTATAGCACAGAAAAGCTGGCGCAGGGCCAAATGTTGCGCCTGTCATCTGAAGCCCTAGTGATTACTGCGCATGCGTGATATAATACCGGTATGATATCGCCCAGCCCTATTAATCAGTAATCGGATTACTTTCCCAGAGTAACTTGCCCATCACTGCAAATGACACATAACTCCATAGGCTAATATTATTATGCATGTTTTAAGTCTGACTGAATAAAATAAGTCTTACGATTATTTACTGTGTTGAGCATTTGCACACTTTTGGCCCAGATACTATTTAGTGAAGATGTGTCTCTAATCATTTTTTATCATTTTAAAATTGTATTGTAGCACCAGCGGTTCGCATGTGCCAGCATGCCCCGCGTGCAAGTTGTAAATAGCCCTTGTATTGTTGTTGTTATTGTTAATGGTTATATTCCTTATTGTCTCGCGTGTGTTTGCCCGTGTCTCGCGTGTACCCTGTCCGATCAACGTGTGTAATCAGCTTCTGTAAATCTCCCACCATGTGTGTATCTTAGAGTTCAGCATCTGACAACCCTGTGTTTCTCGTGCCTAATTATTTCAGTGCTTGTTGGGTACCTGATGTAGTGTTTTTTTTTCAGGACTTGTAATTAACAGCTTGTTTTTCCCGGCAAACAAGTGTCTGTTTCTGCTTCTGCGATGCCTCGGTCTGCCCATCACCACAGTATTAATTCTAACTCTTTTTCTTTTTTTATGTGTTCTGTTTCAATTCACCGTTATTATTATACACGTCACGAAACATTGTCATTGTTAACTCTGTGACTGTGTGCAAGCTTACGTGTAGACAGCACCACCCCACTTGCGCTCTCTTTCTCTCTCACACACACACTCCAGCCTTTTGCACTCCCTACATGAAACGTTCCTCTTCATTAACACTTCGGCTACTTTTTACCGGGCTGGACAGTAGCTAATCTGACCTCTTCCTCAGTCTTTTCCTGGGCCACGTCTCTCTCCTCCTCCTCCTCCGTATCTCACTGAATCGCTAATTCTGCTTCCTCTGGGCCCTGCGTCAGCTGCTGCAGCAGTAAAACTTGTGATGGCAAATATATCGGTAAGTTTTGCGCATTTTGTTGCATCCACTTGAAGGCTTTTTTTGCCTTTTTTTCTCTGAGTTTTTCTGCGCCCCCTTGCACTTTTTTGGTTTGTCCATAGCCACTCTATCCTCTCCAACTCCGGTCAGCTCAAATGGCAAAAATTTGATAACCTCGGTTAAAAAGGGGATGGAGGAGCGGGCTGAGGATGGCTGAGAGTTTTCATTGGATTAGCCCAATGTCCTTCAAGAAAATCAGCCAATGGGACGTTGCGGTCCATAAAAAATATTTATAATATACTTTTTTGGGTAAACAATGACAGCCCCGGACTGACCAAAAAATGTGCGTCGGCTCACCGGGTACGCCTGATAATAATAATAATAATACATTTTATTTATAAAGCGCTTTTCAAGACACTCAAAGACGCTTCACAACACAATAGAATAAAATGGCACACAATTTATAACATAAAATCTATGCATGTCATAGACCATGCACCATTATTTTCCCCTGAATTCTAACTGGGATCTATCAGTTGGCCAGTCCAGCCCTGCTGTGGTTACAACACACTATATTTTGAGTTGCTTTGACGTAAAACGCACATCAAATGGATTCTTCTGTTTTTGTATCTGATATATTAAAATTAACTGATTTGTGTTAATTATAATTGGGCACTGGGGTAATTATAATTGGGCACCCATATGGGCTATATGAATTAATAAATATTAACACTGTAAAAACAAAACTCACTGCACACTGTAAAGTATTATAGGTAACACTGAATGCTGTGGGCCAATATAAACCGTATGCAGTGTTAATTTAACACTGGCACATTTGCTGTGTAACGTATTTTAGAACAATTTTACCCAGAGCAGCTATGGTCTGCTAGCGCAGTGCTATGCTAACTGATGCGAACTGTAACAAGTATTATCTTTGGGGAAGCATGGCAAGACAGGGGTTTTCTAGTTGCATTTTACAAATGCAATACTACTTAGATACTGTATAGATATTGTATATAGCATATAGTACTGTATATAGTATTGTGCTGTACAATATAGATGTATTGAAATTGATTGACTGTACTCATATTTAAACCCTGCTGATCATACACACATATAATGCACACGATTATATTCCACTATTCAAATTGTTTTCTACTTGACTACTTTTGCAACATTTGCACAATTTCTGGATGTCTAAAATACCTATTGTATGCTTTCTGTGTTTAGAGTTGATATTTGTAATTTATTTATAAAAATTCTTGTACTCAAGCAACAGGGTCCATGTGTTCTGTGTGGCTCAGTGGGCTAAGCCTGTGTGCCAGTAATCGCAAGATCACCAGTTTAAATCCAGCCTCAGCATGTCCGTGGGTCCTTGAGCAAGGCCCTTAACCCCCAGCTTCCTGGGCACAGCCATGAGTGGCTGCCCTTCATGGACAACTTACTTACAAAGAGCAAGTTGAGGGAGACATAAAAGGCAGTTTCCCCATGGGGACTTGCAGTCAAATATAAGAACATTGTTAAACAGCTTTAAGTTACATTTTCATGTTGAGTTAACTTAAATATATAAGTACACTTAAAAAAAGTGAACAAGTGAATGTTGGGAGATATTAAAAAAAATAAGTTAATTGATCTCAAAATGTATAAACAGGGTAACTTGGGTATTTTAAGTAAGAACAAATTATTTTGCATGAGTACAACAAACTCAAAACTAGATTTTTTCTGCTTACTTAAAATTGGAAATTTCATAACTTAAAAAATTTGATGTAACTGATTACCTTATTATTTTTTGAGTTTTGCCAACTTATTCGGGATTACAGTGTGTGGACCTGATTTACCCAACTCCGGTAATAATCCACAGAGATTTAAGAAGAGATAGGAAGAAGGGAGACTGCAGCGATCCGATGGCTAAAATAACTTGCTCATCTTCTATCTCAGACTTGTGAAATTCGAAATCCTATTGGGTACACGTCACGTGGCGCTTTTGTTTCATTTTCAGAATACTTTGAGCCCGTTTTTGAACAGAGAGCTCCATCTAGTGGGGACAGAAAAAATAGCAAAATGTTCTGGAAGCGTCATTTTGTCCATCACTACTGTTTGGCACGTGTTTGTTAAATTCTGAAGATAAAGTATAGCCAGACATTCCTGACTTCTCATATCAAGAGGCTCTAGAAATGTTCTTCCATGAGCCCAGAAAGATACACTGCAGTGACAAAAGCTGCACACTTGCAAGCTGTGGATAGTTGTCATAAAAAGAAATGTTCTGATATTTAGTTCAGTTCTTATATTGACTGCTGTCATCAAAAGAAACACATGAACATTGAATCCTGTTGGTGTCCGTCTGCCCCCCCCCCAAGCTTTAAACCTAGGGTAAATACTGTATTTGTTAGACAAACTCACTTTTTCCAAACAACCGTCAACCGCCTCAGTTTTTATAAACAATTGTGAAAGTGAAAGAAGTTCAAATCCATTTTAGTCACACGGATAATGGTGGTAAAAGGTAAAATATGAATACATTTGTGATTTACCAAAATACCATAAATACTAGAATAAGTTCTTATATTAATAGAGAAATTGACATCTGCTATACATCTGCATGAGTTCCCTGGGAATAACATGATTCGAGAAGAACAGAAACTAACAGTTCCACCAAAAAATGCCTTAAAATAATAATTAAAAAAAGTCTTTCCACAGACGGCAAAATTAACGAGTTATTGGGATTACTAGCCTACAGTTTGTACGGTTTCCAGTCCTATTTGTTTAACAAACTCACATTTTCCAAACAACCCTCGAAAGCTGCAGGTTTAGAGACAATTGTGAAAAGGAAAGTACAAAGTTCAAAGCATTTTAAATAGTCACAGATAATAGTTCAGATAATTGGCCACACCACAGTTCATGAATTATTTTAAGTTGCTTTTCGTTTTTGTTAGATAGAATTAGGCTCTGCAGTAATGGATTTGATTTTGTCAACGTCAGATTTACTTTTTACAAGGAAAAATATAAGGCTGACTGATATTTATTCGTTAAAGAATATCTAAAATAAGCAATTATATCAATGCAGATGCTGAAATCTTTCTTAACATTTACATGGTCATGAAGTTCCCGGAGAATTTTGGTAAGTATCAATTAAATCCAAAGTTATGAGGGTTTCTTACATTTTGCACGCTCCTGAAATATACAGATATTTGTTTGAAAAACTCACCTTTTCCAAACGACCTTTGACTGTAGCAGTACTCTGTAGACAGTTGTGGAAGTGAAAGTAGAAGTTAAAAAGCATTTTATATAGTCACACGGAGAGCGGTGGTTAAAGATAAAATATAAGTACGTTTGGGATTTATCAGTTGTATAATTGCTAGAGTAAGTTCTTATAGATTTTAAAATACTTGTACACATCTGCATGATTTCCCTGGATATAATATTATTCGAGAACAGCAGAAACTAATAGTCCCGTCCCCCCCCCAAAAAAAAAAAATGCCTCAAATTTTTTTAAAAAGGGAAAAAAACTTTTCACAGGCGGGCAAAATTAAGGAGTTATAAAATTTACTAGTCTGCAGTTTTGCACGATATATAGGGCTATTTTGTTTAACAAACTCACCTTTTCCAAATGAGCCTTGAAAGCTGCAGCTTTACAGACAATTGTAAAAATGAAAGCAGTTCAAAGTGTTTTATATACTCACAGATAACGGTGGCCACACCACTGTTCATGAATATTTAATATTGCAGCAATTCTCATTTCAGGGTTGCCATTCAATTATTGACTTAAAATGCTATGGTATAGCCTAATTTAAACAGAAAAGCAGTTACACCTTATCATATAAATCGCTTGAAAGCAAATCAACCGTCAAAATAGAATCTTTTTTGTAGCTAATATTTTAAAAACTGGTTTGCGTTAACTATAATTCGGCTCCCAGATAATGGATTTGCCAACGTCAGTTTTCCTACGACCTTCGACCGCCGCAATACTTTGCAGACGGTTGTGAAAGTGAAAGTAGAATTTCAAAATCATTTTATATAGTCACACAGATAACGGTGGTAAAAGGTAAAACATAAGTACACTGTAGTGTTGTAGTCAAGACCGCCTAAACCGAGACCAAGACATTGCCGAGACTGGAGGGTATCAAGACCAAGACACTGCCGAGACTTGAGGGTACCAAGACCAAGACCAAGACACACTAAGGCGAGACCAAGACTAAGACTGGTCGAGATCAAGACCGAGACCGAAAACAAACTAGGGCTAGAATCGACATCACATTACTCAGATCAACTGTAGAGAAAAAAGGCATTGCTGAAAAGTGTCATTACTCGTTAAATCAAATTCATGTTATCTTTTCAATTATACTGTCCATATGTCCATATGTCTCTCATTTAAAATCTCCCAGATTTGTCATAGTTACGAGGCCTGATGGAAAATAATATTCTTAGCAATCCTCTCCTATAACCATTTTATCAAACCCCATCAAAGGAAAGAGATGGGATGTACCAGAAAGATGTTCATATTAAGCCTCTTAAACCAGGGACAGAGGTCTCGGATAAGATATGAATACGGCTATGTAATGATCCTTTGCTTTGAATTGAAGAGAATGAGCCTCCAGATTGACCTCCAAGGCCGTGCTTTCTAATGAATGTAAAATACCTAATTTATTTGAATTATAACTATGCTATAGACTTCGCGGACATTTCTTTGCCGACTTTGCTATGATGCAATGTGTATGATGTGTGTGGACTGTGAAACACTGGCAGTGTCCATTGAGAAAATGTATAAAATGTAACGTTTTTAAAATAGATGCATCTGACTGGTTGCATTTGAAATGAGGCGCATAATAAATAATGATACTGTTCTCTGAGGATGTGCTGTTTTCTCTTTTTTTCCCCATCCCATCGAGACCGCTACAGTATGTCCGAGACCAAGACAAGACCGAGACCAAATAGAGTCGAGACCAAGACAAGACCGAGACTAAATAGAGTCGAGACCATGACAAGACCGAGACCACAAAAAATTGGTCTCGAGACCGGTCTTGAAAACTACAGCACTAGTACACTTATAAAAAAAAGCCATGAAAAATTATGAATGTAGTGAAACTACTTCTTGTAGTTTTGTGAACAACACCATTTATTAAACAAACAATTCTGCATTGGCAGAATGAAAAATTAAAAATGAAAATAAACTATTAAGAAATATTCCTTTGAACAACAAACTGTGGAAATTTACAGTATTTTCCTTGAGACTTGAAGGAAGAGTCCGTTAACGGAAAATGTGCTGGTAATTTTCTGCCAGTACAGTTTCTGTTTTTTGACGGATTTTTTTTTTTTACAGTGTACGTTTGGGATTTAACAGTCATACAACTGTCTGCAAAAAGTTCTTACATCAATGCAGGTTTTGAAACTCTTCAACACATTTACATAAATTCCCTGGGCATAGCATGATGCGAGAACAACAGAAAGAAATAGATCTAACAAGAAACACCTCAAAAATAAAATAAAAAACACTTTTCACAGAAGGACTAAATGAATGAGTTATGTGGTTTACTAGCGTACAGTCTGTGTGGTATATATTCAATTCCATTTATTTTTATATAGCGCAATTCACAACAGAGTCTCCCCAAGGTGATTTACATCAGTGTGTTGTGATGCATTACAACATCATTATAGAGAGTAATGCAGAACGGGGAAAAGGAAGGAAAGAAATGACATAAAGAAAGCCAGATGACAATGGATGAGAGGAACCAAAAAGTAGGAGAAAAAAACTTCTGGGGCTCCAAGGTCAACTGGCTGCTCAACCCCCCTCGGCATGATAACATTACTGAAAACAGATAAGAGTGGACTTGCTTGCTAAATGCAAGATGTAAGCTGGATTAAGACAAAGTTCACCAACGACTCTGTTATCAATGTTGGCTTGAGTAGGGCGGCCAAAGTCCATCAATGAGTCTGTTTTGCATTCTGGCCTGTGTAGGGAGGCAGACTGAAGGCTGCACTCACGATGTTACAGTTTAATTCACACCCACAATGTTTGCATTGCTTTTTGCATTATGGGAAAATAAGAACATTTATTTTAGTACATCCTGTACTTATACATATGACAATAAATCTTGAACCATTCTCCTATGCACAATCGCTTAAAGAAGGAGTGGGGGCAGTTTTACAATGTAAAAACTGTTGTTGGGGGACTTGTACTGTGTAGGGTAGCAGTTTTGGCGATGGTCTAGTTTGATCTTGTTGACGTCAGCCTCTTTCCTACACAGGAGCAATTCAACTGGTGCCATGAAGATGACCTGCTGGCCATAGCAGGCTTCTTTAACATCTCAGTCCCTTGTGATGCATCCAAAAGTGTGATCCAAAGGGTCCTTCAGGAGGAGGTAGTCCGGCTGGGAATCCTGCCAGAGACAGATGGTTCCCTGAGTGTGGCACCTAGCCCGACCCGGAAGTCTGCCACAGATTTAGGGCTCCGCATGGATCTTGGTAGTTCCAACTCATATATAAGGAGGATACCCTCCTTATCATTTTGGCTTCAGCTCCTCTAAATAATCAAGTTTGAACATGTAATATGCAAAATTTAGAAAAAAAATAGACCGTGTTTCAGGCAAAAAGATTAGAGATGAGAGATGTGACTGAAAATGAAAAAAATGTATTGATCTAGATGCATAACATATTGGTTAAAATATTGATATATGGTGATATTCCTTAAAAATCAAGATATCTGAAATGGTTTGATGTGTCAATTTTAGTTAATATTTAAACTTTCAAAATTAGCGCCACCAGAGCAAAATACATAACTAGCACAATGATGGAGATGACTACATTGGAGAATCAGCCATCCGTAGTGGAGGACAAGGGATATTGTGGGCACATTCTCCTCTTAGTAGAGGTCACAAATTACCAGCCCTCAATATGATTATAATTCATTATTAAATCTGGCTAGCAGACCGATCTTTTATGTTCCACACAATAAAAAACTATGAACCAGGCACGTGCAGAGGGGGGGGGGGCGGAGGGTGCTTGAGCACCCACCCTTTCCTCCAGGATGCCTCAAGTGCCCTTTTCTTGGGTTTTTGTTGTTGTTGTTGTTGTTTTTCTTTGTTTTGTTTTTTTTATGTGTATGTGCGTATGAAGCCCTGTCTTTGCCCCTCAACAATAAAATGTAACTATTAATCTCAATTTTGCTAAATAAAAGGATCTGGCTTGCATCAGTCACATGACTGCCATTAACCAATGCTCGCCCTTGAGGGCAGAGCGCACTCGTTACGAGCCGGGTACGAGCTCGCAAAGTGCACGCGCATTTTCTGCAGGC